GAGAAACATCCATGAGAGAGAATCATGCATCAGCTGCCTCCTGCACGCCCCCTACTGGGGATCGAGCCTGCAACCCGGGTATGTGCCCTGACCGAGAATTGAACCATGACCTCCTGGAGGTTCATAGGTCAACGCTCAACCACTGAGCCACACCGGCTTGGCTGTTTATTCAGGGTTTTTTTTTAAATATTAGTGTGGACTTGTGAATACTGATTATACACTTTGGGTTAGAATCCCATGCAAAGCTACGTATTTCGTTCACATTGTGTCAGCTTTAGCCATTGGAAGGTCTTTGGGTTGGTTCCTGTGTAACTTCTAGCATACTTCCGTGTGCATGTGCGTGTGCGTGCATAGCTCTTCCTTACTTTCTGGCACTACACAATACCCCCAGGTCATCCTTTACATTTTCTGCCCATTCATAGAATCCACCATGCTTTTCATTGGAGAACGGTACTGGGAACCACGATACGGCTTCTAGTAACTGCTATCACTAGAATGTCATTGCTTCTAGGCGGTCTCAGCTGCAGAGTAGGGACCTATGGATACATCTAGCCATTGCATGTGTACACATATATGTACCTATTTCTGTGTAAATACATACCCATGTGGATGTTAAACATGAGATCCCGGCTGGCGGGGCTCAGTGAATGAGTGTCGACCCATCAAGATCACAATTCGATTCCTGGTCAGGGCACATGCCCGGGTTGCGGGCTTGATCCCCGGTGTGGGGTGTGCAGGAGGCAGCCGATGCATGATTCTCTCTCGTCACTGATGTTTCTATCTCTCTCTCCCTTCCTGTCCCTTCCTCTCTAAAATCAATAAAAATATCTTTTTTTTAAAGAAATACCTAACTTGTGTGGAATAAGAAGCTAAAGAGTGAAGGTAAAAATTTCTTTAGCACAGGAGTGAACCATCAATTTTGAGAGCTGAGTTGAAAAGGGAATTTTGAGAAACAACAGGTATCAAACACAGGTAGGATGGGCATTACTACAAAAATAAAATTAATCTGGAACTGCCCCCCCCCAATGGTTACAGGAGGCAGCCGATCCATGATTCTCTCTCATCATGGATGTTTCTATCCCTCTCCTTCTCCCTCCCTCTGAAATGAATAAAAACGACTTTAAAAAACATTTGTGTATGGTGAAGCTCCCGTTGCGTGCCTTAAAGTTCAATGTCATAGCCGCACCATCACAGTATCGTACAAAACAGATGCACTGTGCTGTGTCTACTGTCCTTACCCTCCCGCTACAGACACTGGTGATTTTATTGCATTTTTAGTTGTGCACTTCCCAGCATGTCAGATAAACGGGGACACAGTCGGTGCCTCCTTTTCGGACTGGCTCCCTTCACTGAGCAAAATGCATTTAAAATTCACTGTGTCTCTTTCTCTACGTGGATATACCACAGTGTGGGTGGATCCCTCCCTCCACCTCCCTCAATTCATTTCTATAAGGATATCTTGGGTTTCTCTCAGTTTCTGGAAATTATGAGTAAAGCTGTTATAAATATTCATGGGCTGGTGTTGGTATGGACATGAGTTTTTAACAAATTTGGGTCAACGCCTAGGAACAGAGTAGCTGGGTACATTTTTCTTGCTCATCATGAATGACAGTTTGTCGCTTGGATCTTCCCCAACTATGGGCATTGGCAGTTCTTTGGCTTGTAGCCATCTCCTAGGAGTGGAGGGGCACCTGTTTGTTTAATTCACATCCCCCTAATGGAAAGCATGTTCCATCCGGTTATCTGTCACCTGTTTACTTCTGTGGGGAGGGGTATATTCAGATCCTAGCCCACGTCTAATGGGTATGGTTGTGTGCCTATTGCTGAGTTGTAAGATTTCTTTCTACATTTGGAGAGAAGGCCTTTATCAGATATGCCTTGAGAGTATCTTCTCCCAATCTGTGTTGAGCTTTTCATCAATGGAACAGCGCCCGTAATTTTAGCGAAGTCTACCGAATCCTCTTTCCGTCATGATCTGTGCCTTTGGTGTGGCATCTGAAAACGTGTAACAAAGCCGAAGGCCACACAGACTTCCTCCTTTACTATTCTGCATGGCACGTGAGGCTCTGAGGTCGACCTCGGGTTAACTTTGTAATTAACGTCCAGTCTCTCATGCACACGTCAAGGTCTGGGTCCAGGCCCCTTCGTGCAGGTGGACACCCTATTGTTCTGGCATTACTTACTGAAAAGACTTACTATGGATTGAATTTCCTTGGTGCGCCCATGTACCTGCTTCTGATTTCTCTGTTCCCAACTATCGGCCTATGTGTCTACTCGTTTGCCAAGACCATGCTATCCTGATGACTGGACATTTGCAGTGAAAGTTCTGAAATAAGGTAGGGGTGGACCCTCCAAATCTGTTCTTCAGTATTGTGTGGATTCTCTTGTCTTTCCGTAAAACCTTAAGATTAGTTTGTTGATTTCTATCAAATAACCTGTTGGGATGCTCAATGAGATTTCATTGAATCTATAGATTTAATTCAATTTGAGCTGGGCAGAGCTGACCTCTGAACAGTATTGAGTCTTCCAATCCACCATGAACACCGAGGTATTTACATCTTATCCATTACTTGAATCTACTTTGATTTCTTTCATCAGTTTTGTATTTTCTGCACTTAGATCCTATATATGGTATAAATATATTTATTTATATGATATTTACATACACATGCACATTTTCTTTGACGTACATGGTTTTTTTTTAATTTATTTAGAATTTGCATCCTTTATCCTTGTTCTATGCATTTAGATATTTTTGTTTTGTTTTGCTTTGTAGATTCTTTGGAATTTTCTACACAGACAGCCTTCTCATCTCTGGATAAAGACAGGTTTATTTCCCCATTTTCTTTACTATGTTTTTATTGATTTCAGGGAAAGGGAAAGAGAGATAGAAACTTCCATGATGAGAAAGAATCATCCATCGGCTGCCTCCTGCACACCCATTACTGAGTATCGAGCCTGCAACCCAGGCAGGTGCCCTCTATCTCTCTCCCTCTCCTTTCCTCTCTGAAATCAATAAAAATATATTTTTTAAAAAGAAAATGTTTGGAGTCTCTCTGGAAAACAGGTCAGCAACAAAGTGCTGCTGAACCCAATACACATTCATTAAGATCTGATGCAGTCAAGGCTGGGTGATATTTCTACACCTGGCTGGAGTGTCCTGGAAATACCAGTCAGGGAAATTAGTGAGCATGACTCAAATCAAAGGGGACCATCAAAACTACCAGTATCTGCAAAGGAATTAGTATGTACTTTGAAAAAAAATCTGAAAAGCCACAAGAAAGAGAAAGGAGATCACGTACCCACCCCCAAAACAAAACTTTCAGATACCAAAAATATATATATATCAAATAAGAAAATAAACAGAAAGAAAGCAACCCCATCCCAAAGTGAACATCCGAAACCATAATTAAAAGGAGAGAAGAAAGAGAAAGACGTACCTGGTCCTCGGATAGGAAGACGTATATGATTAAAAACCACTTTTTCCCACAAATTAATTTATTACAGTTGAGGAAATTGCAGTCTAAACTGTAATTTCTTCCAACGAGAAGACACATGAGACAACAGGAGGCAGAAGAAGGGACGCACAGATCACAGCACAAAAATGGAGCCAGTCACAGATGACGATACAGCAACAGTGCGGATGGCATTACAGATAAATGGGCAATTATTGGCAAATAATCGCAAGTCATGGCAAGTAACTTGGCAACGTCACGATTTCAAATTAAAAAAATTTTTTTTCTCATGATTGAAGGATTGGAATTTTAAAGAAAACAGAAAAGAGTTAGAAGTTCACACAAGTGACGAGTCTTATGGAATCCGCATAAACAGCTTTCCGAAATGACATGAGACTCAGAAGCCATACAAGCGAACATGGTAGTACTTGGACACAGAACAGTTATACACAGTCTTACAACAGAAACGAGGTTTGAGAGGGTGTGGAAAGTATCTGTAATGCTTGACAATCGAAAGCTTACTGTCCCGATCATAAAGGAGCTCTGCGAAGTAAGAAACAGACGACCCCCCCCCCGCCCCCGCCAAAATTAGACAGAAAGAGGAAATGAAGAGATACAGATGGCTAGTCAAATATGAGAAAATGACCGAACTCAAAAACGAAAGAAATACAATTTAAGACAATAGTTTGGGCTATCACGTTGGCAAAGATTTCCAATAGGCATGAAATCCATGATCTGGGAGGCCGGGAAAACGTTGGCCATCTTATTGGTTGCCATTGGAGTGGTAACAGTTGGTACCATGTTATTAAGGAAATCTGGTGATAATCTTCAAAACTGAAAATGTGCCTGTTCTGAATCCCAGTATATCAGCGGCTGAGTAATGATGATGATATACTAGGGACAGATGCAAAATTATTGCTCTAGCGGGAGGTCCATTGCACAGAAATGTGGTGCTAACCTCAGTGTTTGCGAATGAGAGAACATGGGATTGTATTCTATCTACAAAACAGTCATGCAGTCATTCCATAAATGACACAGATGTGCGTTACTGAGGTAGAAAAAGCTGTTCACGGAAAGGCAGCATGTGGAAGAACTGTACAATATGGTCCCACTTCCAGAGCCCCCTCCCAAAACAGTTTGTATGTTCGTGTGCGTGTGCATGTGTGTATGTGCAAAACTTCCTTAGTAGAGCCTGGCTCATGTGGCTCAGTGGTTGAGCATTGACCTATGAACCAAAAGGTTCCGGTTCGATTCCCGGTCAGGGCACATGCCTGGGTTGACGGCTCGATCCCCAGGAGGGGGTGTGCAGGAGGCAGCTGATCAATGATTCTCTCTCATCATTGATGTTTCTCTCTCTCTCTCTCTCTTCCTGTCTGAAATCAATAAAAAAAATTTTTTTTTTTAAAAGAGAGATAGAATTAGGAGAGAGGAGTGCAGTTAATGTATATCTTTAGATCTGCTTTGAAATTTTAGGGGAAAAACCATGCAGCATTTCTTTTTAAAAAATGTGCCCCTCACCAGCCAATGAAAATTGTCAACTGATACCTATGAGAGCACTGAGGCATTCCATCATTTTGAGTGTCTTGTGCAAATACTACTTCCTCTACTGAGGCTCTTGGGATTGAGTGAAGTGGCAGCCAAGGAAACAGTCACCACGCCCAAAGTAAAGTCTCAGCGATGACAGCCCAACATGACCATTGCTCAGCTAAGCATGTCTTATCTGCAGGAGGGGTCCGCAGCGACACGGGACGGCGGGGACGCTCTGTGTAGAGGAACGACCGCTGTGTCGTGTGGCCGACGCTGGCGATGAAGCGACGGCAGCACCCGGAGAAGCAAATCCACCTGCGGGGACACGGAGGGGACATGGCGAAGGTGAGGGACACGTTTTCTAAGGCCAGGAGTCTTGAGGGCACCCTCACACACCCGTCTTCTACGTGTGCTGGGGGAAATCCACCCAGACACACAGGGGCAGCCATGCTTGCAGTAGCTGGGTCCCTGCTGTGGCCAGAAAAATGCCTTTAAAAATGCCTAAGGTCAGCCGGGCTGGTGTGGCTGGTGGGAGAGCCCTGACCCAGAAACCAAGAGGTCCCCGGCTCCATTCCCAGTCAGGGCACGTGCCCTAGTCATGGGCTGGATCCCCAGGAGGGGGTGTGCAGGAGGCAGCCCATCAATGTCGCTCTCTCTCTCTCTCTCTCTCAACCCCCACCTCCCGTCCCCTCTCTCTAAAAATCAATAAAAACATATATATTTTTTAAAGTGAAGGAAACCCTTCAGAGGCCCAGGACACGTGTCACTGGACGTGGAGAAAAGCTATGAAGACAGGCGAGAGCAGCTGCCTCTCTTCACTCATCACGCAGTGTGGCCCCTGGGCCCATTAGAATGACCCCGAAGCCATCCATCCCTAGGAGGCTCCCATCGACCTCTCTACCCAGACTTGCGCGCTGCCAGGAAGAGAGAACTACTCTGACGAAACCTCACCTGCAGCGGGTGGTCCTGGAACCGCAGGCAGGCCAAACGCTCGCTCGGTCTGAAGAGTCTTGTCTCGGCGATGTATGGGTGGCATCCACGCCCCAAAGCGTTCCCAAGACGTCAGGTTCTGAGGGGGAAAAGGCCAGCCAGCGTGGGTGCTGGGAAGTCACCCACTATAACGGTACGTAAGAAACGTTCTAATAAAAATTCCATGACCTAATTTTTACAACTTCCTGTTATACATAATTATTAATAGCAAACTACAACGTTCGCTAATGACTGATTACTATCATTGTGTTGCATTCATTTCCCTTACGCGCCTTACACGCAGGCGCACCATTTCTCTCCACTAATATTAGCAGCGAATATTTTAGCAGCCCATGGCCACGTCATTAGTCTTGGACTGACTTGTTTGGTGTGCGCCACAGGAAATATTTAGCTTTCGGAGAACAAAAAAATAGATTTATTTGCGTTACGTTTATTCATTTGTGCAGTTATTCAATGTCTGGTAAGTTCATGTTCAAGAAAAATGTTAATTTTTATTAAAATGTTCTATTATCTTATGTTAACAATAACTCCTTTATTTCATCCCTTTGTATTCAGCATGTCTCTATGGAAATAAACCTATGTTTCTATGAAAATGGAAACTTTGGTTTTTGGCGGCCCACATAAACGTAAACATTATTTATTTGGCCCATTTTAGCCTTTGAATTTGACATGCTTGATGTACACATAAACCGCACATGAAGACACATGCGTGTAATCTCCTTTAACACAAAGCATGTTGGAGTGTGGGGACCTGTGCTGACACACCCAACTGTCCTTTCCCCGAGGTCTGACACACACAAGAGAGGCAGGCTAACAATATGTCAGCGAGATCAATGTTTCCATTTCATTCAGACCAAATGTCATAAAACAATTATTTAAAATATGTCTTCATTGATTTTTTTTAAAGGATCTCAGTTATTAATTTTTTAAAATATATTTTTATTGACTTCTGAGAGGAAGGGAAAGAGAGAGAGAGAAACATCAATGATGAGAGAGAATCACTGATAGGCTGCCTCCTGCACGCCCCTTACTGGGGATTGAGCCCATAACTCGGGCTGTACCCTGACTGGAATTGAACCCGGACCCTTCAGTTCATAGGCCAATGCTCTATCCACTGAGCCAAACCAGGTAGGACTGTCCTCATTGATTTTAGAGAGACAGCAAGGGATAGAGAGAGAGAAACATCAATGATGAGAGAGAATCATGGATCGGCTGCCTCCCGCATGCCGCCTACTGGGGATCAAGCCTGCAACCCGGGCCTGTGCCCTGACTGGGAATCCAATCTGGACCTCCTGGTTCACAGGTACATGCTCAACCAATGAACCACCCTGGCTGGACCATAATTTCAATCTTTTTAACTTCATCCAGCCGCGTTTTATGACTTAGCATAGATCTACCCTAGAGAATGTTCTAGGTGTGTTTGAAAATAATTTGGGTTCTGTTGCTGCTGGGTGACCTAGATATCAGCTCACGTAGGTTGATTAGATTGCTCAAGTTTTCTATAACCCCACCAATTCGTTGTTTAACTGGTCTTCAATTATTAAAAAGAAGGTATTGAAGAGTCCAGTTTTTATCACTGATTTTCCCTACGATCCTGTCAGCTGTTGCTTTCTGTAATTTCAGACACTGCTGTAGGGTGATTGTGTTGTTTATAATTGTTATATATCCAATCAGAAAGAATGTATGACCCCTATGTTCACTGCAACGTCATGTACAATAACCAAGTTTTGGAAGCAGCCAATGAGTGGATAAAAGAGCTGTGGGACATTTACACAAGGGAATACTACACAACTTTAAAAAAAAGAGAGAAAAAAAATCTTACCTTTTTGCGACAGCAGGATGGACCTGGAGAGCGTTATGCTAAGTAAAACAAGCCAATCAGAGAAAGGTAAATACAACGTGATCTCACTTGTATGTGGAATCTAATGGACTAATAAACAAAATAGAAACAGACTTATCCATACAGAGAACGGACTAACAGCTCTCAGAGGGGAGGGGCTCAGTAAAAAAAAAGGTAAAGGAATCTTACAGCTAAAAGCCCTCATAGACACAGACAACAGGATGGCGATTCCCAGTGGGAAAGGGAGGTGGGGGAGGTAGAAGAGGTAAAGAGGAGATAAATGGTGATGGCAGGAGACGTGACTTTGGGTGGTGAACACACCATACAATACACCAAGCTTGTCAAACTCAAGGACCATGGGCCGCATGCGGCCCACAATGAGTATTTTTGTGGCCCAGCCAATATGACGGTATGTAAGAAACGTCTTAATAAAAATTTCCTAACTTTATTAATAATGAAATACAACGTTCGCTAATGATGGATTACTATCACTGTGTTGCATTCATTTCCCTTAGGCGCCTTAGGCGCCTTACGCGCAGGCGCACCATTTCTCCCCACTAATACCAGCAGAAAACATTTTAGCAGCCCATGGCCACATCATTAGTCTTGGACTGACTTGTTTGGTGTGCGCAACAGAAAATATTTCACTTTCAGAGAACAAAAAAAAATAGGTTTATTTGCACTATGCTTATTAATTTGTGCAGTTATTCAGTGTCTGATAAGTTACTGTTCAAGGAAAAAATACTACTTTTTATTAAAATGTTCTACTGTTTTACGTTAATGATGACACATTTATTTCAGCCCCTTGGATTCAGCATGTCTCTATCGAAATAAACCTACATTTCTATGAATATTAAAGCTTTTGTTTTTTTGCGGCCCACATACACGTAACCCTTGTTCATTTGGCCTGTGTTAGCCTTTGAGTTTGACATGCTTGCAATATACAGATGATGTATTATAGAATTGTACAGCTGAAACCTACATAATTTTATTAACCAGTGTTCCCCCAATAAATGCAATATAAAGGAAAAAAATGATTGGCTTTGGCAAAGAAGTCTGTTTACCATCACGAGAGATCCAACGGCGTCCCACAGATCCAGCCTGCCTCCCTCCGAGGGCGCCATCCCACCAGCGAGCCTCACAGGTTTCCCGGAGCATCACGCAGGCATGTGTTTGCGGCTAGCCTCACCTGGGAGGTGACAAGAAATCACATCCATGATTGAGAATCCTGCCCAGGCTCTCAGGCAACAAGACCCATGTGAAACGGGGCACCAAGGGAAGCTGTGCACCTGTCTATCAAGATTCATTTTCCCTGGGAGTGACTGCGGGTGCGTGATACCACCACTGTGACAAGAGGAGCTGTCCCTCACTCCTGTCCCTGGGGCTCTGAACGTGCTGGACCTCAGTTTCCGATGAGAACGACGACGGTATGAGTTCTCACTCATTTTGTTCAGCTCCAAGGAATGTTGGTTTGGTTTTTTGGGGGGAATCATCATCGATCCCAGCACGTTCTAAAAAATGGAGCTGCCGGATGGTGGCTCATTGGGTGAGACAAGGACCTCGGAGTCCTCCAGGGCCCGTAGGTCCAGGTCCCACCACCGAGCGAGGAACACTCAGTCCATGTCGGAGGGAAACCCCGTGAGCCATCGGGACACCCAAACAAGCCGCCTCCAGCAGCTCCAAACCCACAAGATAATGGCAGAGTGAGGAGCAGAGCATCGCTTACCTTCCTGGGGATCCCGGCTCTGGTCCTACTCAGGCACCTTCCTCGGTGACTCCCGGGGACACAGGCCATCCAGGCAGACAACGGGCTTCTCGTCTTGGCCGATGCAGACCCTGGCGCTGGGGCTGCACCTGAGAAGTGGACACAAATCACAGGGGCGTTTGAGTCATGTGCCCAGGGCCTCAGGTAAAATCGCTGCCCTCCTCTTCCCTTTCCTGGGCCTTCATCTCATTGTGCCTACGCCTGTCCCTGAGGCATGAGTGAGGGCAGGTGTGACTTCCTGTGTGCAGGTGGGTTGCAAATATGGATGCAGGTGGTGGGTACAGGCCTCCGCATGTGAAAAATGAAGCCCTGTGGGCAGGCTACGGTGGCTCAGGGGTTCAGGATCAACCAATGAACTAGGAGGTCAGGGTTCAATTCCCAGTTAGGGCACATGCCCAGGTTGCAGTCTTGTTTGCCAGGAGTCAGCGTGCAGGAGGCAGCCAATCATTAAGTCTCTCTCATCATTGATGTTTCTCTCTCTCTCTCTCTCCCTCTCCCTTCCTCTCTGAAATCAAAAAGAAAATGTATTTTAAAAAGACTCATCCAACACCAAAAAAATCCTCTCTGATGCTAAACACTGGGAGGGCCTGCATGAGTGTGACACGGGAAGCTGTCCCTCACTCCTGTCTCTAGGATACGGAACGTGCTGGACCTCAGTTACCGATGAGAACGACGACGGGTGTAGTTCTCACTCATTTTGTTCAGCTTTTCCAAGGAATGTTGGTTTGGGTTTTTTTTGGAGGGAGTCATCATCGATCCCAGCACGTTCTGGACACAGGGCCTTGGCCCAGACACACGGTTCCAATTGGCTCATCTTGGGACACAGAAAGGCTTACCTTCCTGAGCGCCCGGGGGCATGAGGCAGACCCGGGGCTACTCTTCTTCCAGGACCCGCACACGTCGGACCCCCAGGTAGAGAGCAAGGTGGTCCGTCCAGGCAGATGACAGGCCTTTCATGATGACGCCTCCTGGGGGAGTGAAGAGAAACCACATGCACTTTTGAGAAATTGATTCAGCTTCTCAGGTCACATGATCCACACTACCCTTTCCCCAGTACAGCCTGCACCTGTCCTTCATCCCTCTATCCCTTAGGGGTGAGATGGGCGTGTGTGACACCATGAGGTGGGCAGGTAGGCAGCTGGGCTGATGCCCTGGGAGGTGCCTGATGAGTGTGCCAAGGGGAAGCTGTCCCTCACTCCTGTCCCTGGGGCTCTGAACGTGCTGGACCTCAGTTACCGATGAGAACGACGACGGTATGAGTTCTCACTCATTTTGTTCAGCTCCAAGGAATGTTGGTTTGGTTTTTTTGGGGGAATCATCATCGATCCCAGCACGTTCTAAAAAATGGAGCTGCCGGATGGTGGCTTATTGGGTGAGGCAAGGACCTCAGAGTCCTCCAGGGCCCGCCTGACCAGGTCCCACCACTGAGCGAGGAAGACTCAGTCCATGTCAGAGGGAAACCCCGTGTGCCATCGGGACACCCAAACAAGCCGCCTCCAGCAGCTCCAATCCCACAAGCTAATGGCTGACCGAGGAGCAGAGCATCGCTTACCTTCCTGGGGATCCCGGCCCCGTGCCCGCTCAGGCACCCTTCCTTGGGGACTCCCGGGGACTCAGGCCATCCAGGCAGACAACGGGCATCTCGTCTTGGCCGATGCAGACCCTGGCGCTGGGGCTGCACCTGAGAAGTGGACACAAATCACAGGGGCGTTTGAGTCATGTGCCCAGGTCGTCAGGTAAAATCGCTGCCCTGCTCTTCCCTTTCCTGGGCCGTAATCTGATTGTCCCCTAGGCATGTCCCTGAGGCATGAGTGAGGGCAGGTGTGACTTCCTGTGTGCAGGTGGGTTGCAAAAATGGATGCAGGTGGTGGGTACAGGCCTCCGCATGTGAAAAATGAAGTCTTGTGGGCAGGCTGGTGTGGCTCAGTGGTTCAGCATCGACCAATGAACCAGGAGGTCAGGGTTCAATTCACAGTTAGGGCACAAGCCCAGGTTTCGGTCATGTTTGCCAGTAGTGGGCATGCAGGAGGCAGTAAACCAATAAATCTCTCACCTAATTGATGTTTATCTCTCTCTCTCCCACTCCCTTCCTCTCTGAAATCAAAAAGAAAATGTACATTAATAAGAGGCAACTGCCGAAACCGGTTTGGCTCAGTGGATGGAGCGTCGGCTTGCGGACTGAAAGGTCCCAGGTTCGATTCAGGATTCCGGTCAAGGGCATGTACCGTGTTTGCGGGCACGTCCCCAGTGGGGAGTGTGCAGGAGGCAGCTGATCGATGTTTCTCTCTCATCGATGTTTTTGGGTCTCTATCTCTCTCCCTTCCTCTTTGTAAAAAATCAATAAAATATATTCCAAAAAAAAATAAGAGACAACTAACTCTAAAAAAATCCTCTCTGATGGTAAACACTGGGAGGGCCTGCATGAGTGTGACAAGGGAAGCTGTCCCTCACTCCTGTCCCTGGGATACGGAACGTGCTGGACCTCAGTTACCGATGAGAACGACGACGGGTGTAGTTCTCACTCATTTTGTTCAGCTTTTCCAAGGAATGTTGGTTTGGTTTTTTTTTGGAGGGAGTCATCATCGATCCCAGCACGTTCTGGACACAGGGCCTTGGCCCAGACACATGGTTCCAATTGGCTGATCTTGGGACAGAGAAAGGCTTACCTTCCTGAGCGCCCGGGGGCATGAGGCAGACCCGGGGCTACTCTTTTTCCAGGACCCGCCCACGTCTGACCCCCCGGTAGAGAGCAAGGTGGTCCCTTCTAGGCAGACGAGAGGCCCTTCATGATGACGCCACCTGGGGAGTGAAGAGAAACCACATGCACTTTTGAGAAACTCATTCAGCTTCTCTGGTCACATGATCCACACCACCCTTTCCACAGTACAGCCTGCACCTGTCCTCCATCCCTCTATCCCTTAGGGGTGAGATGGGCGTGTGTGACACCATGAGGTGGGCAGGTAGGCAGCTGGGCTGACGCCCTGGGAGGTGCCTGATGAGTGTGCCAAGGGGAAGCTGTCCCTCACTCCTGTCCCTGGGGCTCTGAACGTGCTGGACCTCAGTTACCGATGAGAACGACGACGGTATGAGTTCTCACTCATTTTGTTCAGCCCAAGGAATGTTGGTTTGGTTTTTTTGGGGGAATCATCATCGATCCCAGCACGTTCTAAAAAATGGAGCTGCCGGATGGGGGCTCATTGGGTGAGGCAAGGACCTCAGAGTCCTCCAGGGCCTGCAGGACCAGGTCCCACCACTGAGCGAGGAACACCCAGTCAATGTCGGAGGGAAACCCCGTGAGCCATCGGGACACCCAAACAAGCCGCCTCCAGCAGCTCCAAACCCAAAGCTAATGGCTGAGCGAGGAGCAGAGCATCGCTTACCTTCCTGGGGATCCCGGCTCCGTGCCCACTCAGGCACCCTTCCTCAGTGACTCCCAGGGACTCGGGCCATCCAGGCAGACAACGGGCTTCTCGTCTTGGCCGATGCAGACCCTGGCTCTGGGGCTGCACCTGAGGTGTGGACACAAATCACAGGGGCGTTTGAGTCATGTGCCCAGGTCCTCAGGTAAAATCGCTGCCCTCCTCTTGCCTTTCCTGGGCCTTCATCTGACTGTCCCCTAGGCCTGTCCCTGAGGCAGGAGTGAGGGCAGGTGTGACTTCCTGTGTGCAGGTGGGTTGCAAATATGGATGCAGGTGGTGGGTACAGGCCTCCGCATGTGAAAAATGAAGCCCTGTGGGAAGGCTACGGTGGCTCAGTGGTTCAGCATCAACCAATCAACCAGGAGTTCAGGGTTCAATTCCCAGTTATGCCACATGCCCAGGTTGCGGTCATGTTTGCCAGTAGTGGCCGTGCAGGAGGCAGTCAATCAATAAGTCTCTCTGGCCCTAACCGGTTTGGCTGAGTGGAAAGAGCGTCGGCCTGCGGAATCAAGGGTCCCAGGTTCGATTCCAATCAAGGGCATGTATCTTGGTTGCAGGCACATCCCCAGTAGGGCGTGTACAGGAGGCAGCTAATCGATGCTTCTCTCTCATCGATGTTTCTAACTCTCTATCCCTCTCCCTTCCTCTCTTTAAAAACAATAAAATATATTTTAAAAAAATAAGTCTCTCTTATCATTGATGCTTATCTCTGTCTCTCTCTCCCTCTCCCATCCTCTCTGAAAATAAAAAGAAAATATATTTTAAAAAGAGGCAACTAACTCTAAGAAAATGCTCTCTGATGATGAAAACTGGGAGGGCCTGCATGAGTGTGACAAGGAAAGCTGTCCCTCACTCCTGTCCCTGGGATACGGAACGTGCTGGACCTCAGTTACCGATGAGAACGACGACGGGTGTAGTTCTCACTCATTTTGTTCAGCTTTTCCAAGGAATGTTGGTTTGGGTTTTTTTTGGAGGGAGTCATCATCGATCCCAGCACGTTCTGGACA